TCTGCTTCTTTTATTTTTACCCATCTACCAATAGGTGCCCTTCTTTGCGAGGTGTTGTTAAACCTCCCTGGTCTTTGTGGTTGAATCTGTGTTTGAAATGTACTGTTTTATTGAGTGACCTTACAGACAATTGTATGTGTGGGGTACAGAGATGAGGTAGTCATTCCAAAAGCATGTTAACACTATTATTGCACACAAAGTGAGTCCATGCAACTTATGTGACCTGTTAAGCAAATTTTTACTCCTGAACTTATTTAGGCTTTAATACTTATAGACTCAAGACATTTCAGCTTTTCATTTTTTTATTAATTTGTAAAAATTTCAAAAAACATAATTCCACTTTTACATTATGAGGTATTCTGTGTAGGCCAGTGACAAAAAAAAATCTCAATTCAATCCATTTTAAATTTAGGCTGTAACACAACAAAATGTGGAAAAAGTCAAGTGGTGTGAATACTTTCTGAAGGCACTGTATTAAAGTAGTCAAATGTTGAGTATTTGGTCCCATATTCCTAGCACACAATTATTACATCAAGCTTGTGACTCTACAAACTTGTTGGCTGCATTTTCTGTTTGTTTTGGTTGCGTTTCAGATTATTTTGTGCCCAATATAAATGAATGGTATCCTTCATTGAGGAAGATGGCTTGTTCATAACAAAACCCTTTGATATTGCCAATCACTTTAATAACTTTTTTGTTGACAAGATTAGCAAACTTAGGCATGACATGAAACAACAAATGCTGTGCCTTCATATTCATGCATAATGGGCCAAATAACGAAAGACAAGCACTGTAGTTTTGAGTTCCACAACGTGGGTGTGGAAGAGGTGATCATTTTTTTTGCTATCTATACATAAGGACAAACCACCTGGACCGACAACCTGGATGGTAAATTGCTGAGGTTGGTAGCGGAATAAATTGTGACTCCTGTTTGCCACATCTTCAATTTAAGCCTAGAAGACAGTGTGTGCCCTCAGACATGGAGGTAGGCATAGGTCATTCCTCTACCCAAGAATAGCATAGCACCCTTTAATGGTTCAAACAGCCAACCAAATTCTTTTTTTTTAAAATGGTAAATTAGTGAGCAAGCCATGGAGTAGATTACGTTTTTCCGAGCTCCTGCTGAAATCTAATTTATTTAATACTTTATTTGTGCTTTGACCCAAAAAGAACTAGGAAACACAGCCTTTGAATGATGTTCTCTACTTTGTTCAACTTTTAATTTGTTTTAATGCGTAAATGGCGCATAACCTGCAAAAGTTTAAGTTCAGCGGAGTCACTGACAAAAGAGAAAACACTAGGCCCAAGACGAGGAGCTCGAGTTCCTCAACAAGTGGGAGCAGCGGCTCCTCCCCTCAGCTCGGCGAAGAAATGAACACCGAGGATTTGAAGGCCGAGATTCTTGCTGTCCTCAGAGCGGATGTTTAATCTATACTCAAGTCGGAACTCAAGGAGGCGCTCAGTGAGGACTTTAATTTGATTAAGTCGGAGTTACAAGCAGTCAAGAATGAACTCGCAAAGCATACAGCAATGGTTCGTGCTGAACTAGATACAGTTCAAAAAACTGTCTCCGACATGGAACAAGGCTTGTCAACATGCTCGGACGATACGACTACGCTACAAACCACGGTTAAGAAACTCGAAACGGATGTGGCTAGCCTTAAGGAACAATGCATACATTTAGAAGGTTATATGTGAAGATCCAATATCAGGATCATGGGGGTAGCTGAGGACCCGGGCTCAAGTTCTACTTCATTGGTCTCAAAGTTATTGAAGGAAGCCCTCAAAATAAATAAAGACGTCCTTGTAGACCGCTCACATCGGGGCTCTAAAGCACGAAAGCCTAGCAGAAAACCTCACGTCATTGTGGCTAAACTACACTACTATCAGGATGGTATTGATGTTCTTCGGCATGCCAGAGAATTTGGCCCACTTCGATACAACGGAGCACCCATCTTCCCAGACTATGCCCCCAGCGTTGCTTGTGACCGTGTCGCTTTAAACAATGTCAAGAGTCTGCTCCGTGGACGGACCGATGTTCGGTATGGTGTGGCTTTTCCTGCCCGGCTCTGTATAACATACAACATTTACATTTTTTACATTTTAGTCATTTAGCAGACGCTCTTATCCAGAGCGACTTACAGTTAGTGAGTGCATATATTTTCATACTGGCCCCCCGTGGGAAACGAACCCACAACCCTGGCGCTGCAAGCGCCATGCTCTGCCAACTGAGCTACAGGGGACTACAACAGCACCAAGAAAGAGTTCCAAGACCCCCATAAGGCGATGGCCTTCGTAACGGCGAACTTTCTACTGAGGTCGGATGAAGCAAATGGCTGAATGTTTACCTATTTGGTGATTAGGGTAATGGACGAATGTGTCTACCACTGCAGACTCTGTCTCTCTTTTGTAGATACTGTTTAGCGTTGCCAGTGGTATCAGTTGATATTGTTTTATTAGGTAACGTTAGTGCCTTAGTTCTGGTGAGTCAATTCTCCTTTTGTTTTAACGTTTATTTTATCACCATGAAGCTGCTCATTTCTATTTCTCGATGGTACCCGTATCCAGGGTAGATAAAGCACAGTTATATTATTAGGTTATGTCATTTCTTTAAAGACATTGCTGCTAACTTAGTGGTACTGCTGTAAGATGTGATATATAAAATGTTTTATACTTTCTTTTAAAACAGCCTAGTTTTGGGTTGTAAATAAGTATTTCTTATTTATTTATTATGCGCAACTTGTTTTAAATCCATCACTATTTCAGCAGGGCTCTCTACTTGATAGGTTTAGTGTTCCCCACTACAAGCACATTATGTGTGGATATCGCTGCGTGGGGATTAGCGGTTACCTTGTTCTATTAGGTGACCAGGGTGGGTTTTCTTTTTCATACCAGACTTTAGAGTATTGTTTGTTTATGTTTTTTATTCTTCAACTTTTGTTTTTTTTATTAGCTATTCTTTGGAGAAAAAAAATATGGATCAGTTGTTATTGTAATCTGGCATCTATCCTTTCCCACCTGTCATTACATGGCTAGGCCTAATATCATGAGAGGGACAGCTGGTTGCTCAGTCACTTTTGCTAGCTGGAATGTTAAATCTTTAAATCACCCAGTGAAAACTAAAAGGGTTCTTTCTCATTTAAATCACCTTAAAGTAGATATCGCCTTTCTCCAGGAGACACATCTCCACACTTTCGACCACTCTCGTTTAAAAGGAGGGTGGATCGGTCAATCATATCATTCCAATTTTCATTCTAAAACTAGAGGAGCAGCCATTTTAATTAGTAAAAACATACTGTTCGCAATGTCAAGTGTAGAGGCAGACTCAGCAGGCAGTTTCATTATTGAGGTATACAGAAGATAGCCATATTTGGTAAAAGACCAAGTCCATATTATGGCAAGAACAGTTCAAATAAGCAAAGAGAAACGACAGTCCATAATTCCTTTAAGACATGAAGGTCAGTCAATACGGAACATTTCAAGAACTTTGAAAGTTTCTTCAAGTGCAGTCGCAAAAACCATCAAGCGCTATGATGAAACTGGCTCTCATGAGGACTGACACAGGAATGTAAGACCCAGAGTTCCATCTGCTGCAGAGGATAAGTTCATTAGAGTCAAATTGCTGCAAAGAAACCACTACTAAAGGACACCAATAATAAGAAGAGACCTGCTTGGGCCAAGAAACACGAGCAATGGACATTAGACCGGTGGAAATTTGTCCTTTGGTCTGGAGTCCAAATTTGAGATTTTTGGTTCCAACCGCCGTGTCTTTGTGAGATGCGGTGTGGGTGAACGGATGATCTCTGCATGTGTATTTTCAACCGTAAAGCATGGAGGAGGAGGTGTTATGTTGTGGGGGGTGCTTTGCTGGTGACGCTGTCTGTGATTTATTTAGAATTCAAGGCACACTTAACCAGCATGGCTACCACAGCATTCTGCAGCGATATGCTGTCCCATCTGATTTGGGCTTAGTGGAACTATATTTGTTTTTCAACAGGACAATGACCCAACACACCTCCAGGCTGTGTAAGGGCTATTTTACCAAGAAGGAGAGTGATGGAGTGCTGCATCAGATGACCTGGCCTCCACAATCCCCCGATCTCAACCCAATTGAGATGGTTAGGGATGAGTCAGACAGCAGAGTGAAGGAAAAGCAGCCAACAAGTGCTCAGCATATGTGGGAACTCCTTCAAGACTGTTGGAAAAGCATTCCAGGTGAAGCTGGTTGAGAGAATGCCAAGCGTGTGCAAAGCTGTCATCAAGGCAAGGGTGGCTATTTGAAGAATCTCAAATATAAAACATATTTGTATTTGTTTAACACTTTTTTGGTTACTACATGATTCCATATGTGTTATTTCATAGTTTTGATGTCTTCACTATTATTCTATAATGTCAAAAATAGTAAAAAAATTTAAGAAAAACCGTTGACTGAGTAGGTGTGTCCAAACTTTTGACTGGTACTGTATATCTTGTATTGTAATTTGCACTATTATGTATTAGACCTAGATATTGTGTATATGTACTAATATGTAGGCTGTGTTTGACGTTTTACATTTATGTAGTTCAGTCCTTGACTAATAATGTTCTGTACTATGTATTATGTCATGTTTCATGTGGACCCCAGGAAGCTGCTTTTGCAGCGGCTAATGGGGATCTTAAGAAATACAGATACCAAAATGGTAAAGTAATTTTATTGTAAATAAGAATATGTTTCTAAACACTCCTACATTCATGTATATGCTCTAATGATTACAGATAGTCCTGAATAAATCGTGAATAATGATGAGTAAGAAGATTACAGATGCACAAATGTCAGACAAATGCAGCATTATCACAACTCAGCGTCACAATGGTAGGGATTAACTGAGCTGGTCTTGGGTCATTCATAAGTCATTGTCTCAACGCAGCCTTGAAATGCATTGGCAGAGTCCAGGAGCCAAGATGGGGTGGTTGCAGCTGTTTTGTAGTTTGAGGGGACAGTTCCATGGGTGAGGGAGAGGTTAACGATGTGTGTGGTATATGGACAGAGAGCAGGCAGGCTTTGATGAGAACAATGAGGAGAGGATCCAGGGAGTAAGTTGTAGTCTCGGATGAAATGATGAGTTTTCAGATATAGGAAGAGTCAATGGGGGCAAATTCGGAGAGCCGGGTTTCAGGGTGGCAGTTGGGAGGTTGACAGGGGGAGGGGCGGCTGGAGGAGGTTGATCAGTCAGTAATGAGTTTATTTTTGTGAATTTGTCCTTGAAAAACTGAAGGAGTTGCAGAGTGCTGTGGAGGAAGTAGAGAAGGTGTCGTCACGGGGCTGAAGTAGTTTGCTGACAGTGGAGAACAGAGTCCGGGAGTTCTTATTGGAGCTGTTGATGATGTTGGAGAAGTAGGTGGACCTGGCAGCACAGAGGGCATCTCTATAGGTGGAGAGGTTGAGTTTGTAGGCCTCAGCGTGGCCAGTGAGCCCAGACTTCCTGCTCAGGCGCTCCAGGCGGCGGCCAGCTTGCTTCAGGGCGCAGAGCTCAAGGGTAAACAAGGGGGAGGAGGAGGAGGAGACAGGTTTAGTTCGGAGGGGGGCAGAGAGTTGAGGGAGACAGATAGTGCAGTATTCAATTGGGCAGCTAATTCATCAGCTGAGTTGGGGGCATGGTCAAGGGGCAGGGCAGAGCAGATGGCATCAGAGTTGGAGGGGGTCAACAGCTTTGATGTTACAGAAGGTGATGAGGTGTGTCAGTGTTGTGGGGTGAGTATGAGGTAAGAGATAAATTAAGGATCTTGTGGTCAGACAGTGGGAACAGGGAGGGTGAAATATGAGTTAGGTTGAGGCCAACAGAGCAGACAAGGTCAAGAATGTGTCCCTTGATGTGAGTGGGAAAATTGACATGTTGGGTAATATTGAAACAGTCCAGAACAGCAATGAAATCAAAGGCAAGTTTTGAGTTTCATGAGCCGATGGTTATTATTCAGGCAGCGAAGACCGGGGGGAGTAATGTTTGGTCAGGAAAAAACAGGGAGGGGGAAACCATAGTAATCCAGGGCAGAGCGCAAACAGGAGGAATAGAGAGGAGATATTGGGCAGGTGCATGACAGTGATTTAGATCCAATAAAATGTCAGATAAATCCACATTACATTTTAGTCATTTAGCAGACGCTCTTATCGAGAGCTACATACAGGAGCAATTAGGGTTAAGTGCCTTGCTCAAGGGCACATCGACAGATTTTTCACCTAGTCGGCTCGGGGATTAGAACCAGCAACCTTTCGGTTACTGGCACAACACTCTTAACCAGCAAGCCAGAGCCCAACTAGACTACTCTAAACCAGCTAGCACTAGAACCCACAGTCCAAAACACATCTGAAACACAACCTTCGCCAGCAGAGAAAAAACAAAGAGAGAGCAGAGACTTAATCAATGAGATTGACGGCTGGGGCCCACGCGATGGCAAAAGAGTGGAGGCTGGATTACCAGAGCGAGAGCCATGGAGAGAAGCCGTAGAGCTAGCCGGCGAATAGAGTACCACAGTATGAGTCATAATACCCATAAAACCTAGCGGTCAAACAAGGAAATGGTTCCAATCGTTTTTCCACCATTCATTTTTCCCATAGGGGATTTTTCGAAACACTTAAAATAAGGAATGTGTTTCGTGTAGGCTTACCCTGGCGAGACGTTTTAATAACTGTGTAAATCTCTCTAGGACAAGGTGACTTTTATCAATATATTCGCCTGTATTTACCCCCCTAAAATGAAATGCTAATTAGCTGCAACGTCAACAGTGAAGAGGCGACTCCGGGATTCTGACCTTCTAGGCAGAGTTGCAAAGAAAAAGCCATATCTCAGACTGCCCATCTTAATCTTTTCTTTTTATTGGCCAGTCTGAGATATGGCTTTTTCTTTGCAACTCTGCTTAGAAGGTCAGCATCCCGGAGTCGCCTCTTCACGTTGAGACTGGTGTTTTGCGGGTACTATTTAATGAAACTGCCAGTTGAGGACCAGTGAGGCGTCTGTTTCTCAAACTAGACACTCTAATGTATTTGTCCTCTTGCTCAGTTGTGCACCGGGGCCTCCCACTCCTCTTTCTATTCCGGTTAGAGCCAGTTTGCGCTGTTCTGTGCTTTGTTTCTGGCCATTTTGAGCCTGTAATCGAACCCACAATTGCTGATGCTCCAGATACTCAACTAGTCTCAAGAAGGCCAGTTTTATTGCTTCTTTAATCAGCACAACAGTTTTCAGCGGTGCTAATATAATTGCAAAAGGGTTTTCTAATGATCAATTAGCCTTTTAAAATGATAAACTTGGATTAGCAAACACAACGTGCCATTAGAACACAGGACTGATGGTTGCTGATAATGGGTCTCTGTACGCCTATATAGATATTCCATTAAAAATCTGACGTTTCCAGCTACAATAGCCATTTACAACATTAACAATGTCTACACTGTATTTCTGATCAATCTGATGTCATTTTAATGCACAAAAAAATTTGCTTTTCTAACGAAAACAAGGATATTTCTAAGTGACCCCAAACTTTTGAATGGTAGAGTATATACAGTGGGGAGAACAAGTATTTGATACACTGCCGATTTTGCAGGTTTTCCTACTTACAAAGCATGTAGAGGTCTGTAATTTTTATCATAGGTACACTTCAACTGTGAGAGACGGAATCTAAAACAACAATCCAGAAAATCACATTGTATGATTTTTAAGTAATTAATTTGCATTTTATTGCATGACATAAGTATTTGATACATCAGAAAAGCAGAACTTAATATTTGGTACAGAAACCTTTGTTTGCAATTACAGAGATCATACGTTTCCTGTAGGTCTTGACCAGGTTTGCACACACTGCAGCAGGGATTTTGGCCCACTCCTCCATACAGACCTTCTCCAGATCCTTCAGGTTTCGGGGCTGTCGCTGGGCAATACGGACTTTCAGCTCCCTCCAAAGATGTTCTATTGGGTTCAGGTCTGGAGACTGGCTAGGCCACTCCAGGACCTTGAGATGCTTCTTACGGAGCCACTCCTTAGTTGCCCTGGCTGTGTGTTTCGGGTCGTTGTCATACTGGAAGACCCAGCCACGACCCATCTTCAATGCTCTCACTGAGGGAAGGAGGTTGTTGGCCAAGATCACGCGATACATGGCCCCATCCATCCTCCCCTCAATACGGTGCAGTCGTCCTGTTCCCTTTGCAGAAAAGCATCCCCAAAGAATGATGTTTACACCTCCATGCTTCACGGTTGGGATGGTGTTCTTGGGGTTGTACTCATCCTTCTTCTTCCTCCAAACACGGCGAGTGGAGTTTAGACCAAAAAGCTCTATTTTTGTCTCATCAGACCACATTACCTTCTCCCATTCCTCCTCTGGATCATCCAGATGGTCATTGGCAAATTTCAGACGGGCCTGGACATGTGCTGGCTTGAGCAGGATTTTAATCCATGACGGCGTAGTGTGTTACTAATGGTTTTCTTTGAGACTGTGGTTCCAGCTCTCTTCAGGTCATTGACAAGGTCCTGCCGTGTAGTTCTGGGCTGATCCCTCACCTTCCTCATGATCATTGATGCCCCACGAGGTGAGATCTTGCATGGAGCCCCAGACCGAGGCTGATTGACTGTCATCTTGAACTTCTTCCATTTTCTAATAATTGCGCCAACAGTTGTTGCCTTCTCACCAAGCTGCTTGCCTATTGTCCTGTAGCCCATCCCAGCCTTGTGCAGGTCGACAATTTTATCCCTGATGTCCTTACACAGCTCTCTGGTCTTGGCCATTGTGGAGAGGTTGGAGTCTGTTTGATTGAGTGTGTGGACAGGTGCAGTTAATACAGGTAATGAGTGGAGAACAGGAGGGCTTCTTAAAGAAAAACTAACAGATCTGTGAGAGCCGGAATTCTTACTGGTTGGTAGGTGATCAAATACTTATGTCATGCAATAAAATGCAAATTAATTACTTAAAAATCATACAATGTGATTTTCTGGATTTTTGTTTTAGATTCCGTCTCTCACAGTTGAAGTGTACCTATGATAAAAATTACAGACCTCTACATGCTTTGTAAGTAGGAAAACCTGCAAAATCGGCAGTGTATCAAATACTTGTTCTCCCCACTGTATATCGATGATTAAATTACTTTTAACAATAAGTATAATTTACTATAATAAATATAATATTTAGCATTACTGTTTAACTAGGAAAACGTGCATAATTTTGATACTTAGATAAATAACATCAGGGAAACCATTTCCCCCTACGTAAATGGGAGGTGATATCGGCGCAGACCTCTTTAGAACCACATGCAGTAGCTATAATGGCGCCGGAGGAGATGGCTGCCATTTTACGGCCCCCTAACCAATTGTGGTATTATGTGTGTTTTTTCGCATTATTTGTAATTTATTCTGTACATAATGTTTCTGCCACCGTCTCTTATGACCAAAAAGAGCTTCTGGATATCAGGACAGCGAGTCGGAAGTGAAGGATATTCTACAGACACCAGATAAGGCCCAAATCCCCGTAATTTGCATGAGAAAGAGACAGCGATATCGTGGACGTGGGTCGGGGTGCCTTGTAAGGATCCGACGGCGAGAGAGTAATCTGTCTCTACCATCAGTCCTATTAGCCAACGTACAATCATTGGAAAACAAAATAGACGACCTACGATCACGGATATCCTACCAACGGGACATTAAAAACTGTAATATCTTATGTTTCACCAAGTCGTGCCTGAACAACTACGTGGATAACATACAGCTAGCGGGATATACGCTACATCGGCAGGATAGAACGGCTGACTCCGGTAAGACAAGGGGTGGCGGTCTGTGTATATTTGTAAACAACAGCTGGTGCACGAAATCTAATATTAAGGAAGTCTCAAGGTTTTGCTCGCCTGAGGTAGAGTATCTCATGTTAAGCTGTAGATCACACTATTTACCAAGAGAGTTTTTCATCTATATTTTTCGTAGCTGTCTATTTACCACCTCAAACTGATGCTGGCACTAAGACTGCACTCAATGAGCTGTATAAGGCCATAAGCAAACAGGAAAACGCTCATCCAGAGGCAGCGCTCCTAGTGGACGGGGGCTTTAATGCAGGGAAACTTAAATCTGTTCTACCTAATTTCTAACAGGAAATAAAACTCTAGACCACCTTTACTCCACACACAGAAACGCATACAAAGCTCTCCTTCGCCCTCCATTTGGCAAATCTGACCATAATTATTTCCTCCTGATTCCTGCTTATAAGAAAAAACTAAAGCAGGAAGCACCAGTGACTCGGTTAATACGGAAGTGGTCAGATGACGCAGATGCTAAGCTACAGGACTGTTTTGCTAGCACAGACTGGAATATGTTCCGGGATTCTTCCGATAGCATTGAGGAGCACACCACATCAGTCACTGGCTTCATCAATAAGTACATTGATGACGTCGTCCCCACAGTGACCGTACGTACATACCCCAACCAGAAGCCGTGGATTACAGGCAACATCCGCACTGAGCTAAAGGGTAGAGCTGCTGCTTTCAAGGAGCGGGACCCTAAC